ACCACCAAAGGTGCTCACCGGCGCGGCTGTGTGGCACCGGTGAAGGTGGCAGCCGGCATCCGGGCGGCTCCACCTCGGGTGGAGAGCCTCAGCTTCCAGGGCGGCGGCCTTAGATGGTGGCGCGCGGCGCGGCCTGTGCGGTGGGCGGTGTCGGCGGGTGCAGGTGGGCCACTTCCCCAGCAGTGTGGGCGGCATGGAGGTGGTGGGCCTCGGCTGCTGCGGCGACCCCTCGTTGGTTCCTGGCTTGCCATGGAGAAGTTCGTCCTCAACCCATATCCCCTCCGATCTGCATTGGATCTAGCCCATGGTGGCTTTCGGGTGTTGGCTCTATGAATCTGGTGGCTGGGTGTTGTTCCCCTCTTGTTGGAGGCTTCGGTGGGATCCCCTTCCTCCAACCCCTCCCAGTAGTTCTGGTGAAAGCCTCAGACCCCTTGTTCCAAGCGACGACGACACCGTGGTGGCGTGCTCCTTCCTAAAGGCATCGTTGGGGGGTTGCTCAAGCGGGGGTGGAGTTGGCGGCAGTTCGATGACGACATGTGTTGGCCAGGCTACTTCTTGGGCAACTTGCTTGGTTCTTGGTGCGTTTGGCCCCAACCGTTGGTGTCAGGGGATCGATGTCCTTCTTGGCACCGGTGATCCGCCGATTCCTATCCTTGACCCATGTATTGTGTTGCCATTTTCAGCCTTCTCCGTGGTTCGGCGCCTTTGTTCAACATCTCACGTCCGACGTTCTGTCTTGCCGCTGCCGACTACGGTGCTTGGGTGGTAGGGCCCCCGTTGCGTGTGGGTCTGCTCCTATTCCTCTCCTGGGGCAGCTTGGGTGCGGCACCCATCGAGCCTGGTGAAAGGGTTAGTGGCCCTTTGCATTGGCAAAGACAAATCTTTGTTGCACATGTTTGGTCCTTCAGTGGTAGTCAGTGAACACAATACTCACACAGTGGTGCCCTCCTCCCATGGCCTTAGAGCATCTCCAACAGCCGCGCTATGCGCCGTGCGCAAAAAACGCGTTTGCCGTGCGCGCTTCGGCTGGTTTAGCGCGGCCGCCAGGGCTGGCTCCAGCAGCCGCGCTATAATGCAGCGTGCGCGTGCCGCTCCAGCGCGCGCGACTCGCTAGGCATGGCATTTTAGCCACAAAATGAGTTTGAAACAATCATCAAAATGCAATGAACATGTGAAATTTGTCACAAACAAGTTGAGAAAATAAAAGTTCATGCCCACAAGTTCATCCAACCAAGTTCAAAATGCAAACTAAAGTTCAAGACATAAATGAAAGACACATCAAACATCTTCCTCGTCTTCGTCCTCATCTTCCGAAGACGATTCTTCCGCCTCCGAAGATGAATCTTCCTCCTTATCCTCATCACGCATCGCATCTGTACAGCGTGGTGAGCGGGGTGCCGGTGTGCGCGTCCATGGGTGGCAGGGCACCGGCGCCGGCGCGCGCGGGGCGTAGGAGGAGGAGAGGAGAGAGTGCGGCGCGAGCGGTCGAGTGTGCCGCGCGCTGTAGCAGGCGCCCGAAATACACCGCGCGGGATAGTGCTTACTACCGCGCGCCCAACTCGTTATAGCGCGTGCGCCGTTTTTGCGCGCCCGCTGGAGCGACCCGCCGCGTTGCGCCCCCGCGCTAAAACGGTCTAATTTGCGGCGCGGCGCTAGTATAGCACGGCTGTTGGAGATGCTCTTAATAGTTTAGCTGATGTAGGTGTAGCGGTGGTCATTGGCAACGGTGTGGTGTGTTCTTGCCCGCTGCGGAAGTTGCCTTGTAGTTGTTTTACTTAGCACCTTGTATCCCTTCTTTCCGTTGTTTTCCTTTGTGTATGTTGGTGCTCTGTAATCCTAGCCGGTTGATGGCTTTGTTAATTTAAAGTCGGGCTAGGTTCGAGCTCTTCTTGGGCTCAGCCAGTGCCTTTTCTATAAAAAAAAGCAACATCCAAAGAGATGCATGGTTGAATGGTACAAGATGTTGAAGTATAGTACCCTTACAAAGATGATCCTAAGATATCCGGCACACGCATAATTTACTCAATATACTCGTGTGCATGGCTACTTTGTTTTTGTTTCTTAATTTTTTATTTTTTATTTTTGCTTTCTTTTCACATATTTTTTTCCTTGGGTTTCCTTTTCCAAATTTGGGTTCTTCCCTTTCTTTGTCTTTGATTTGAGGCAAGATATTACACGCCGTGTTCCTTTTGTTTTCTCGCGTGAGAAAGGGCAGTGGAGTTGTCTTAGATGCTACCCATAGCCCACTTCTCGCAAAGAAATGGTAAACTACGTGGTGGTGTTCGTGCACTAACTAAAATCCAAGTGCATGCACATCTCGAATCCCTCTTTCTAGCTAAAAAGTTTTATTTTTTTATTTTTTGTGAAACGGAGCCAAAAAGGAAGTGAGAAAAGGAGGCCGGCCATTTTCTTCCGAGACAAGCATGCATTCCTCCATGACACGCGAGTAGTCCAGCACATCATTCTCCGAGAACAAAGTATAAAGTGGAATTTTGGACAGTACCAGCTGTTGAATTCAACTGGACAAAAACGCAGCAGCGCACATCCATCAGTCCAGCTCATGTGCCACCTGCGCGGCCGGGCACACGGTTTCACCCCCGTCCGCGAGCATCACGTGGTGAAACTAGCTGCTCAGTGGTGCCTGGCTAGGTGTGTGGGTGAAATTCCGCAACGTCGATCGCCGCTGGAACCTCAGTGTAGAAACCGAATCGACTCGGCACAGATAGGCCAACGCAAGGGTCCAGCTCTACTGCTCCTACGGATAGCGACGTTGGGGGTCACTGTGGGACGGACAGTGAAATCACGCGGAAACTGGACGTGGAGCGATCGCCGCTCGGAGAGGCGGAGACCCGATCAAAAGAAGCCGGGCACGCGTCGGCGTCGATCAAACAGTTGGTCAGTCACAAGAGAGCTGGACGGTCGATGTGATGTTGCTGCCGTCTGACTGAACGTGTGGCGTGGATGCGTGCCACTTGTTCCACGGCTCAACCCGACGATCGCTCGATCCACGCAGGTGTATGCGTACGCAAGAGTATGCAGCGCGCGTGCGTGCGGATGCGCATGGTGGCTAATTTCGCCTCGATTCCACCGGCGACTTCTCGCGTCCATTCCACGGGTCGTGATCGATCAACTGGCAGCAAGTTGCAAGCCATGAGCAAGCACGATCGTCAAGGTCTCAAAATTAATGGTTATAGACCAACGGAAGCTCCAATTAGTACGCCGTGTCCATCTCTCTTTCTCACCACCGGCCGGGATGTTTGCTGCAAATAATCAGTTGTGCCATGCCATGCCATGCGCATATGGGCGATGGATGGCCCGTGGATGGGCATGCAAACAAGAGCGCCGTGGGACGCGCGCGCGCGATCGAGGCGTGTTCGTGACGTTGACTTGACATGAGAGATGCCTGATCGATCTTGTTTGATACGGCATGGTGGTGCTCCATGTGGGGCTTTAATTTGCTCCATCGTCGATCGGGCCATGCGACATGTCAATGCCGATCGAGCGAGCAACTTGGTACCAATATAGGGACGTTTGGGTACGTGC